GATTTTCTTGACATGGGATCAGCAACTGTTTAGTTAGTGAGTTTGTGATTTTTCTTGAAAAGTGACATCACTGACTGTATAGTTATTGACTTTTCCTTAATTAAACTTTTACCTAACTTACCCATTTGCTTTAAAAGTTGGTGTCCTTTGTTGCTTTCATCAAGCCTTCTTGGCATACCACTACCAGCATAGGTTGATCCACTGAACAAAAGAGAAATAATTTAATGTCTAAAAAATATTACATTAAAGTATTATAACAACTGCTATGTACTGTAAACCTACACAATAACTAGCTGCTACGTACTGTAAAACTAGATGATAACTAGTTTCTACCTACTGTAAACCTAGATGATAACTAACTGCTATGTACTGTAAACCTAGATGATAACTAGCTGCTATGTACTGTAAACCGAGATGATAACTAGTTTCTACCTACTGTAAACCTACACAATAACTAACTGCTATGTACTGTAAACCTAGATGATAACTAGTTTCTACCTACTGTAAACCTACACAATAACTAGCTGCTATGTACTGTAAACCTAGATGTTAACTAGCTACTACCTACTGTAAACCTACAAGATAACTAGTTGCTACCTACTGAAACCTAAATATTAACTAACTGCTAATCGCTTTCAATCTTCCCATTAACTAGCTGTCATCTAATGTAGACCTACATGATAACTAGCTGCAACCTACTGTAAACCTATAAGATAACTAGCTGAAACCTAAATATTAACTAACTGCTACCTACATAATTAATATGTCATTAAATATAAATATCTTTTGAATAACAGAACTCACAAAAATGATGGAGGAGTAGGACTTCGTTCTGGGCTTCTTCTGTGAGGTGGAGAAGTTGACCGAGAGCGTGATCTTGACCGGGACCTAGATCTTGACCTCCTTGATCGATGATATGGTGGGGATCTTGACCTAGATCTTGACCTTGAGTGTGAACGTGATCGGGATGGAGATCGAGAACTGGACCTTGACCTACTCTTGCTCCGGCTTCTACTTCTACTTCTGCTAGGGCTACGGCTTTTTTCCTGTCTGACTGGGGGACTATACATTCAATGACACCACATAATAATATTAATAGAAACCAGCTTGAAATTTAAGGTACATTAAGATTCAGTGTAGTATGCGATTCATAAATTTTAAATAAAATGTTAACGCTATCTGTTATTATGATGTGTATTTTCCCCTTTGGCTAGGTTAACTATCAAAATTACTTTTTTACAAAAATAGTGTTTTACTGATTGTTCATGTTTAGATATCTTTATACAATCCTAGATCCCTCATATTCCCTAAAACATTCTTAAGTACTCATTATTTTCATTAACTTTTCAAACACACAACAAGTTACTGTCTAAAGATTTTACTTCTAGAAAGGGCCATTTATGAACTAAGGTAACAGTTTGTATATCCAATCATCTTGCAACTAGCTATCCCTGATCTTTTTTTTGGAATTCAGTTTAGGTGTGGTGATTTCCAAATGTGGTGCAAAAACATTAACTCTGCTGAGAAAGTTACATAATAAGACTTTTTAGAACAAAGGTCTTCTATTACTCATTTATGAAAGCAAGCAAGGCACGTAAGTTTAGCATTTTGAATAAAGCATATCTATTATGTTTAATAGTATCAGTAAAGAAAGGGAAGGTGTAAGGATAGTACGTAAAAACAAGCTACACCACATCTGAAGAAAGCATATCTATTATGTTTAATAGTATCAGTAAAGAAAGGGAAGGTGTAAGGATAGTACATAAAAACAAGCTACACCACATCTGAAGAAAGCATATCTATTATGTTTAACAGTATCAGTAAAGAAAGGGAAGGTGTAAGGATAGTACATAAAAACAAGCTACACCACATCTGAAGAAAGCATATCTATTATGTTT